CAATGGGATATTCATATTATAAATAAACAAAGCTGAGCATTGCTTATAACTCTTCTGTTCCTGCAAATATGAGTCATCCTTTCTGTCTGGCTCGCCCAAAACTGGTCCATGCTGCCCATGGAAAATAATTTGAATCAGAAGACAGTCAATGAATTAGCTTACGCTGGCATTTCACTACTGATGGAACATGGAAAAATGGAAGCCCCTGCATAGCTTATTTTCTGATCTGATTGCTTCATGCTTTCCTTCACAGAGAGAGTCCGGCAGTCTGATCAGAAGTGCATGTCCCATATAAATGGGATTCTAAAGCAATAAACTTATATAATATTGTGATATAATCCTATTACACAGACTCATTGCTCTTAAAAGACATGTTGTCATGCAAAGCAAGAAACACTAATTTGCAATAAGGGTGATTCATGCTGATTGGGGCGGGGGGGGATCTGGGCACTCAGACATCCACAGTATTGCATACACATGTTTTCATTTCTATGCCCTTTGTACCAGAAAAAAATCAACTGCTGATACTGCTTTTACGGACCACCCAATCTATTAACTGGCACATCTCAGATGTTCTGAATGGTCAAGCTCCCAAAATTCCAATGGTAACTGATCACAGCATGTGAAATAGAGAGATTCTTTCCTTTTCTCATCACACATATGTATCATTCAGAGGCGTGCATGAAAGTTGGCTTCCAGTCTCTACACTTGAGCTTGTAGCCCAATCCCCTGTTTTAAGCCAGTAATTGTAGCCATCGAAAAAAGACACCACTGGATCTGCTATAAAAGCCAACTTGTGATGAACTTAGGACATGGTGTGCTCCAACAGTTCCTCTCTTGTTTGTTTTCCAAGCCAGATAATAAACACTTTGGCAATTATGTATTTTCCAGGTGGCAACCAATGAGGCTATGCTGAGCAAAACAAAGCCCCTGCCAGCACCCATAACTTTGCTAGCAAGAATAAACTCCCAGCTCACATGTGGTCTTGACAGAACCCCCAGGGAAGAGTTCCCTGACATGGATGGCTTTTATGTGATTCCCACCCCCCACCCCCTTGCCATCTGGAGTCAGCCTCATGCTCATCATATGTGGGAAGCATGTGTTTATAGAAATCCCATGGGAAGAGGGCAGAAGGTTGCAGGGGAAGGAAGTGTGTCATTCAAATCCTCCTTAGTGCAGAAGAATGCTGTTGGAACTAATCCCTGAGAAGCCACTTCTCTGAAAGCTACTGTCTCAAACTGGGATGTTGACAGGAAGACTTTCTAGCCACTGGGGCCAAGACAACCAGGCCATATTTCTTTCAAAGTGGCACAAGCCTGGGCATTGCGTATGGAGGTCCTGGGCTGCCCAGATGACAATACCTCCCTTTCAGCCTTGATGATGTGGTCCAGAGGAAAGCAGAGCAATACATCTGGCACCAGCTTGGCTGCAGGAGTTGCCGGAAGGAGGCGTACAAGACACGATCCAGCCATCTTAGGGACTCCACTCCAGATTTGTGGACAGTTTACTCCCCCCCCCCCAATTTTTTAAATTGATTTTCCAAAGAATTTTTTAAACAAACAAACATAAATTTCAACCGTATTTAAACCAAGCTTAATAACATTGTTAAGTGACTTCCTCGTATCCCCCTGGTTGAATTTCAGTGTATATCATTTTAATGGTTTCCAAAACCGCAATTCTTATAAAATTAACTTAATCACTTAACATCATTATATTTTCCTTTCCAATTCAGTATTAAACATATTAATTCATCTCATTACCTAATTATATCCTAAGCCTATCTGTTATTTGCAAGCTTCTCCAGTTAATTTAACTTAACATATTTAACTAAATAGTCTTTAAATTTCATCCATTCTTCCTGATAGTCTGCCTTCTTCTGGTCATGGACTCTTCCAGTCAGGTCAGCTAGCTCCGAAAAGTCCATCATCTTCATCTGCCAATCTTCCACTGTTGGTACTTCTTGTGTTTCCCAGTTCTTAGCTAATAAAATTCGAGCAGCAGTTGTGGCATACAAAAATAATTTAACATCTTTCTTGGGCAATTCCAAACCTGTTATTCCAAGAAGAAAGGCCTCTGGTTTCTTACTAAATGCATATTTCAACATTTTTAAAAGTTCATTATAAATCTTCTCCCAGAAGTCTTTCACCTTGGGGCAGGTCCACCACATGTGATAAAAAGTACCTTCTTTATCTTTACATTTCCAACATAAGTTATCACTGTTATGGTAAATCGTTGCTAATTTTACAGGAGTCAAATACCATCTATACATCATTTTCATTATATTTTCCTTTAACACTGTACATGCAGTGAACTTGACCCCTTTCTTCCACAGTCTTTCCCAGTCTTGAAACATTATGTTATGTCCCACATCTCTTGCCCAATCTATCATCACTGATTTAACTTGTTCATCCTTTGTATGCCACTCCTTAGCCTTTTCTTCTCCTGAAGATACCCCCAAGGCAATGGAGGTTTAGGATCCGAATTTTCCTTCTCCTAGAGGGACCACCTTCCCAGGCTGATGAGCCCCATCTGCCCTTCAACACATAAATAAATAAATCAATAAAGTAGTAAAAGTGTTATCTTATAGTAAAGCATAGCAGAGGGCCTTGGGGGGGTAGGGAGGGAAGTATGTCCAATGTCCAATTCTCTAAGCTGATTTCAGTCAACAAGTCACCAACCAAAGTCTGCTTCAGTGTGTTCTTCTGCCATTATCCACATCAATGCAATGGCATCCTGTTTCTGGCATAAAAGCTAAGGAAGAAAAAAAATATGTCCAGCAGTTATCAATTGAAAGCAATGTTTGCAGGTTTATCACTTGAAAATTAAAGGGTGGCCTTTTTCAATTATAAGCCCTTCCTTACTGCCAAGTGCTCGGTGAATTAATACTATTGGAATGTTTTGGCATGTGCTGAGAAGTGCTAAGTCAAATCTGTTCACTTTTCATATTAAACATTACACATTTAGTCACACATGTTTTTAATCTGCTGTAAAAAAAATCAACATATGTGCAACAACTGCGTTATAATTTATGGAGCAGATCTACAGACATACAAAGCTACATTGGGCTGGAAGTCAAAAATAAAAGTTTATTTAAAATAAATGTTGTTCATTGTCTTAAAAATCTCAGTAAAACAACTCCATTGACACTATGACAAATACAGCCAAACAATGAATTTCCCACTTTCTACCGTGGGACCCCTGAACCTTTGTGTTTTTATGAGTGAGATGCCTTCATTTCTGTCACTGGGAGCAGCTTGAGGGGTGCAGATATGGGGTGCTGCTTTTTTTGAATCAAGTCATAGGCTTGAGCAACAAATTTAATTTGGGTGTGCACACAGGGATTGTTTATTTCAACAAAACAAGAAGATAGGGTGTGTGTGTGGGGTGGAGGGAATGCTAAGGCAAACAAGTAAGGGGAAGGAAGAAGTAAGAGGCAAAAAACTAACAAAACAACTACGACAAGAGTGGTCCAGAAGTCCAAAACAGGAGATTTTCCCTGCAGAGATTACCTCTCCTCCACCTTGCTTGCGAACCACAAAAGCAGCTCCTCATCCTCATAGATGTCTCTCCACAAAAGGTGGTCAGTGGAGCTCAGACAGAAACAGAGCCACGAGACAGAGACAGAAGCAGGCAGAAGAAAAAGACTGGAATGGATCTCCAGGTTCTGCTTGCAGAAGAGAGAGTCCCTCCTCCTCCCTTATCGGTGCTGCTGGAGCAAATCACCCCACAACTTCCAGAGAGACGCGGGCAGAAACTGCAGATCCATTCTAGATCCTTTCCAGCCTTTGTATTCTGCCTACATCTCTCTCTCTTGGTTTCCCATGATCCCCGTTTTTTTAATTAAAAAAATGGTGTGTGAGGGCACATGCAACACACCCCCTATGTGTGCCTATGAATCTAGCATTGCTTATCCATACATTCTTGTTTCTGCACCTCAGTAAAATCCACCTACAGTGCTAACTGAAAAGATTATTATGAAATGACATAGCATCTCTTGAATCTCTACTTTCAAGAAGGAAGCTGTGCTGTACAGGCTGCCCTGGACTTTACTACTTTAGAAATTGCCCTCGGTGGATTTTTCAAGGTCACTAGCACCTTTACACTGGTGGAACGAACCACTAGCAATTATGACTGAACATGAGAGGGTGCTTAAAGTAACAACTTAAGGAATGGATAGAGCTATTTCCTGACCAGGAAGCGAAGGAAACTGGTCCACTAGGGCTACTGGGGCACAGCCCTCCCGAGAAGAACATCTAAGCCCACCCCAAATCTCAAAGTCACACACTCTTTCCTGACTCACAGACATTTTATACTTCTTCTGGAATTCAGAAACGCTCCACAAACATTTCTTTCAATCTGCTCTGGCCAATGAGGTCTCTGTTGCACTTAACCAGTCCTAATCTAAAATCATAGCTATGGCAGGTCCCTCTCACCCCATGTGTCTCTGGGCCTTTGCTATGATAGTTGGAAAAGTGAAGTGATTTATCCGGTGCTATTTTTCTAGAAAAAGTAGTGCCAGAACTCACCATGAACACCTCCCTCATTGTCTTAGAACAATGGTGCCCACCTGAGAGGTGCTGGAGCTGAGTTCCGGCAAGTTCCAGATGGAAAAACCCTGGATTTATCACGGCTCCTGGTTTTAACCAACTGGTTAAAAGGATAATATAGCTAGCATTGGATTTGTTATTACAAAACTGTTTTCTGTTTCTTTTTTAGGACACTTGGTGAACAGATGTTGAAAAGCTGTGTACAAATTTGAAGCATTAATGAGTAGGCTAGGCCAACACCAGAGGCAAAATGAAGAGAACCAAGTCTGTTCACCCTCTTTTGTGCAGACAGCAATGTGTGCTCAGTGACCAAATGGAATTATCATGACTCACAGATACCCAGTACTCATTCATTTTAATGGTATGAGGTGTAAGAAACACTATGGACATCCTTCCACTGTTCTGTACTAAGAGGATATGGCTACCAGCCAGTCTTCCACCAGCCGGTCTTCAATGATTATTCACAGCTGCTGTGTTTATGAGTAAGTTTACCTGGAAATCTTGTTTGCTCACGAGAAGGCCACGAAGAAATCCTAAGAAGAGCATCCCAGCTTAAAGCACAGCCTTTCTATCTACTGGCAGCCTGCCATGTGTACTGCTGCCAAGTTTCACAGCTGGCACAGTTAACATGAAATGGGATCTACCCTGAACTTTTCTTATCCCCGTCCCCCAAAGCAAACCTTTCCAAACCAGAAGCCAGTATTATTTTTGTACATTAGGTTACTTTTTCCTGTCGAGATTAGCTTTCAAATCTCTGCCTAATGGGATCTGTACATCGCAAAGGAACTTGCTGTGAACATCAGCTCCAGTCCCCAGAAGACTCAGTCTCATAAGCGGAGATCATCATCGGGGTTGGGCTGGGTGTTTATCAGTATGTGAATGACACCCAGCTCTACCTCACTTTTAAATCAGAACCAGTGAAGGTGATGAATATCCTGTGTGAGTGCCTGGAGGTGATTGGTGGATGGATAGCAGCTAACAGTTTGAGGTTGAATCCTGACAAGACAGATTCAAGTTTTTGGGAGACAGGGGGCGGGCAGGTGTAGAGGACTCCCTGGTCCTGAATGAGGTAATTGTGCCTCTGAAGGACCAGATGCGCAGCCTGGGAGTCATTTTGGACTCACAGCTGTCCATGGAGGTGCAGGTCAATTCTGCGTTCAGGGCAGCTGTCTACCAGCTCCATTTGGTATGCAGGCTGAGACCCTACCTGCCTGCGGACTGTCTTGCCAGAGTGCTGCATTCTCTAGTTATCTCCCGCTTGGACTACTGCAATGCGCTCTACGTGGGGCTACCTTTGAAGGTGACCCAGAAACTACAACTAATCCAGTATGTGGCAGCTAGACTGGTGGCTGGGAGTGGCCGCCGAGACCATATAAACCAGTCCTGAAAGACCTACATTGGCTCCCAGTATGTTTCCGAGCACAATTCAAAAGTGTTGGTGCTGACCTTTAAAGCCCTAAACGGCCTTGGCTCAGTATACCTGAAGGAGTGTTTCCATCCCCACTGTTCTGCCTGGACACTGAGGTCCAGTGTCAAGGGCCTTCTGGCGGTTCCCTCACTGCAAGAAGTGAGGTTAAAGCAACCACGCAAGAGGGCCTTCTTGTTAGCGGCGCCCACCCAGTGGCACACTCTGTTGGGATACTGCCAGGGAGATAAAGTCCATCAAGGCCCCCAAGCCGTCTGCCGGACGATCCATCGACCTCCCGTAGTCACGCAGTATCAACAATTAGCGACATGAGTTTCTAGAAGATTTCTTGCCACATTCCAGAGCTCATGCACACTCTTATCAGCAGATAATGCACAGCCAAAAGTTGCAATCAGGAGAGCATTATTTACAAGTTTATTCAGCGTTGATCAGAACACAGAAAAACATGACTGACTGCTTTAGTGTCTACGACACAAGAGAAAAACGAAAGCAATAGCAAACATAAACATCCTGTGAACAGGAAATACGCAGACTCTGACTCACAAAGCCTGCTCCCTTTTAAGGTGGAACGGAAATATCCTAACATCCTCCCCCTTTCCGTGTAACCTGTAGTACCTGTGGTTCAACCCAATTGCAACCTTTGTACGTAAACCTTAAGTTGTTCTCTGTTAACAACCTTAGACAACAGATCAGCAGGAATTTCATTTCCTGGCATGTAGGACACCTGAATGAGTCCTTTCTGAATACACTCCCTTGCACAATGTAGCTTAATCTGCAAGTACTTGGTCCTTTGCTTGCAACTCTCTGAGTTCAGCAAAGCCAAACAAGATCTATTGTCTTGATACACTTGTACAGGACATTTCACAGAAACTCCGATGTCCTTAAACAGTTGCATCAACCATTCACAATCCATGAGTGAAAATGACAGAGCATTGAGTTCTGCTTCACAGGAACTTAGGCTCACTGTCGTCTGCTTCCTGCACAACCAGTCAAACAGGCAGTGGTTGTACATGTAGCATACTCCAGAGGTGCTTGTACCATCCGTGGTGTCACTTCCAAAACTTGCATCTGCAAAGATTTCAAGACCTCCAGTCTTCTGACTAGTGAACCTCAGCCTGTAGTGCATAGTCCCTTTCAAATAGCGGGCTATGCGCTTCAGAGCTTTCCAATCCTGAACAGTAGGATTGTTAGCATGTCTGCTAAGCAGGTTAGTGCTTACAGCAATGTCAGGTCTTGAGCATCTAGCAATGAAATTCAACTTGCCTAGAATGCATCTGTACAGCGTAGTGTCAGAAAACGCTTCAGCAGTACTGTCTACCTGGTAACCTGTCACCATCGGTGTGTCTGCTGGGTTTGCATCAACCAAATTCAACCTGGTTAATACATCAGCAATTTTCTGTGTTTGGTGTACCAGAAAATTACCTGCTTGGTCCCTCTCCACCTGCAGAGAAAGATAGTTGGATACCTCACCAAGATCCTTCATGTCAAAGTGCTCCTTCAGCTGAGCTAGGGTGCTTTGATAAAAGCCTGATTCTTCCAAAACATCAGAAGATCATCAACAAAACATAAACAATACAGTTTGTTTTGCCCTCCTCCTTGACAAACACACACGGATCAGCTTTGCCCTGGTGAAAACCTAGAGAAAGCAATGTCTCAGTGAGTTTTGTGTTCCAACACCTGGCACTCTGCTTGAGACCATATAAGGATTTCCGCAGTTTACAGACCATTCCCTTCTGTATCTGCATCCCATCAGGTGGAAGCATAAACAGCTCCTCCCCCCAAAACCCCGTACAAAAAGCTGTATTAATGTCATGATGGGAAACATGCAGTTTCTCCTCTGCAGCTATCTTGAGCATCAGCCGAATGCTCTCATATTTGACGGTGGGTGAGTAGGTCTCGTGGTAATCCTGTCCTGGTACCTGTGAAAAACCTCTGGCAACCAATCTGGCTTTGTGTCTGACAACCTTGCCATTCTGGTCTGTCTTGGCCTTGAAGACCCATTTGCTGCCAACCAGTCTCATACCTGGGACTACTGGTACCAGTTCCCAAGTTTGGTTCCTATTCAAGGAATCAACTTCAGCCTTCATGGCATTAAGCCAAGGCTCAGCATCTTTAGAGGTTAACTCCTGAACCTCTTTGAAGCTTGAAGGTTCCCACACCTTCTCTGAGCTACTAAGAACAGCAGTTGCTGTCTTAGCAAACTCATCAGCAAATCTCTTTGGAGGTCTGCCCTTGGTCGCTCTTTCAGATCTGCGTACTAGACGCAAGTCTTCTGGACTCATCTCCTCTTTCTTAGGAGAAAAATGACCAATGGTGAACAGTGGTTCTTCCAGTTCATTGTCAGACGCATCAGATGGTCTGACTGAGGCCTTTGCGCTCTTGTAGTCTGCTGTGTCATCACTGTCACCGACATCAGCAGCAGCGCCGCCCACTGAACTGGAATCCGAACTCTGATCATCATCGTCATCATCATCCTCAGCAGCTTCTACAGCTTTAGCTGCTTTCTTCACATCACCTTCATCCTCCTCTGGGTAACTCTGGAAAATTCCCACATTTTCCCCCCACTTAGGATTGTACTCAACACTCTTTGTGAACTTAATGGACTTAGAGTTGGTCATCCACACCCTGTATGCACCTTTTCGTACCCCATGAACAAACCATGTGCCCCACGCTTCCCAAGCTTGTTGCTCTGTGGGGTGTGTACCCACATGTCAGAACCAAAAATTCTCATGTGCTTGATGTTGGGTTTCTTACCAAACATCTTCTCATAGGGAGTACAACCAATAGGTGATGACAATCTGCGATTATAAGTGTAAGCAAAATTCGACAGAGCCTCCCCCCAATACTTATCAGGGAGATTGGCATCATGCAACAATGTTTTCATTCCTTGCAGCAACGTTTGATTTGCTCGCTCCGCAAGCCCATTCATCCATGGCGATCTAGGCGTTGACAAATCATGCTGGATTCCCTTCTCAGTCAGGAAAGCTTCAAACTGCTGAGAAGTGAACTCCCCGCCCCGATCAGTAAAGAGACAGCCAATACGTTTACCATGAACATTCTCCAACCAAGCACAGAATGCCTTGAACTTCGGAAACGCTTGCGATTTCTGCTCGAGCATAAACACATGAATGTACCTGGAAAAAGAGTCAATTAGAACCATGAAGTACCTTGCTCCACCCAAAGAGGGCGCAAGTGGACCAACCAGGTCTGCGTGCACTAGCTGGTAGGGTTTGGAAGCCTGCCTGCTAGACTCCTTGCCTTTTGGAGCAACCTTCACCTTGTTCTCTGCACAAGATACACATTTCATGTGAAACTTACAGGGTTTGATGTTCAAACCCTCAACCATCTCTGGCATCTTGGCCAGTGCCTTCCAAGAGAGATGGCAAAACCTTCGATGTGCATCGTGAATGCATCCTGCATGAATGAAGGGAAGTTTTTCTTTCTGCAGTTCTCTCACTGTGAAGTTCTCTTTCTGCAGTTCTCTTACTGCACATAACTCTTGCATTCTGGGAAGTCTCGCTCATAATCTTTTCTCTGCTTCTGCACAAGAGTCTGAGAATGTTCTGAACAGTTCCCATTGAGTTCATGAAACAGTGTATCCTGACCTGTTCTTAATGCATTGCTGACCACATTTACGGAACGTGATTGTTGTATTCCTTCATGTTATGTTCTCTCAATATCAATCTTTAGTTATAATTTAATTAGGAGGTTTCATGCCTGTCTAGTTCCAGCTCCGTTTCCCAGTCTTTGAACTATCAGTGATTGATGTTATATGTTATTCCCGCCTTGTACCTATGTTAACCAATCAGCAACAAGATGCTTTGTGTTTGTATCAGCCAATCAGCCACAAGCACACCTGTGGCAATGTTTGTAATATTCAATAAAAGAGAGTTCCCGGGGCTTGCCCCGGGCAGATGCCTCTCCTTTGACACCCACCATTCGTCTGTCGTGATTTCAACCCAACATCTGGTGACCCCTGACGTGCCAGATCCCTTACGCAGCCAAACCTCATACTTCACCCGACTGGAAAAGTCTCAGCGCGCTACTTTCGTGAGTATGGGAGGGGACTTGACTAAGCTCCAGAAAGAGCATGCTAAAGAATTGCTTTATTTAGTTAGGCAGCGGGAGGTGGGTGTTAATATTTCCTTAAAAGAAATTGAACAATTGCTATGTGAGATCGCTTTAGAATGTCCCTTTTATCCTGAGGCTGGTTCCTTGGACGTAGAGACTTGGCAAAAGATCGGAAAAACCCTGTTTGCTGAACCTAGGGCTCCGATTCATTGTCTGCTCACTTGGCAGAAATGTGCAGACGCCGTTGCTAAATTTGGGGTGTCTCCCTCGGCGTCTCCCCTTCTTGCCATTGCAGACAATCCCCCACCCTACCCGAAACTTTTACCTCCTTCTCCCAGCCAATCCCTCCCTGCTTCTCACCCTCCTCAGCCTGCATCCTCCCCCCCCATCCCTCCGCCTCAGCCTGATTCCTCCCCCCCCATCCCTCCTCCTCCTGCCACAGCCCCTGTTTGCTCTATAGGAGCTGTGCGTGCTGCGCTCTCTCTGGCAAGGCAAAAGGGCTCCTGTCCTTAGAGGAGGAGTCTGAGTGGCCAGGTGAAATGCCGTCTGCTTTCCCTATCTCTTATTCAAACCCTGGAACTGCTCAACAGCAGATTTATTATGAATCGCTTCCTTATTCTGTAATGAGGGAATTAAGGAAAGCCATTGCTGATTCTGGTCTGAAATCCTCTTATGTGACAGGGATGCTAGAAGGCATAGCAACTGGTTACATTATGCTACCTCAGGACTGGAAAGACCTGATGCGCATGCTTTTGTCCCCTGCTCAGTATGTGGTGTTTGAGAGTGAATTTAAACATAGCGCTTCAGCCCTGTCTGATCCTCAACATACTGCCAATGAACTTTATGGTGCTGGTCAGTTTGCTGATATAACTGCCCAAGCAACACTGACACCTGTACATTTTGTTCGCACCGCGACCTGTGTTCAACGCGCCTTCGGAAAGTCCCTGTTTCTGGGCAACCGCTGAGCTCCTTTGTGAATATTAAGCAACAGCATTCGGAGCCATACCATCAGTTTATAGATAGATTGAAAGAATCAGTCACTAGGCAGATTGATAACACCACTGCTCAAAATGAATTGATGAAAAATTGGCCTTTGAAAACGCAAACACTGATTGCAAGAAAGCTTTGCAGTCAATCATACATCGCCCTAAATATGAACTGGCCGATATGATTCAAGCTTGTGCGGATGTCGGTAGCCAGAGCCATGCGATGTCCTTGCTTGCCGGCGCAATCCAAGCAACCACTAAGCCTACTGGTAACTGCTTTAATTGCAAGCGCCCAGGCCATTTTGCCAAGCAATGCAGAGCCCCTGGCGGGGGGGCACACAAGGATGGTTCTGCCTCTAAGGCTAAACCTTCTAAAAAGTGCCCGAAATGTGGCAAAGGCTATCATTGGGCTAATCAATGCAGGAGTTCGGAAAACTGCATTGCGGCCTCTCTCTCGGGCCAGGAAAATTAGAGAGATTTCCGCCTTTAATTTCTGCTGCTGCAAACTTTTCAAAGAACACACCCTCTGATTTTGCAATTGATTTGATCAATCAAGAGACCAAAGATTCTGTTCTACCTGGTGAAATTGTGCTTATGCCCACTCAATTGGCAGGTCCCCTGCCTCCTAAAGTCGCAGGTTTAATTTTACCCAAATTTTCTGCGGCAAAGGAAGGAATCCAGGTTATTCCTGGAGTTCTGGATCCTGACTATGTAGGCACAATAATGGTTCAACTCTGGAGCCATATGCCCATGCAATTAAAAAGGGTGAGTCTTGGGCGCATTTGGTGGTGCTCCTTCTCATCCTACTGCTTCTATTATGGATACTAATTTGCACGAGCTCTCTTCTTTCCCTCCACAGCTGTTAGCTGTAGTCCAGAGGATTGGTGAGAAGAAGCTTCTTCGTAAGTATAAAATCAATGGTATTGTGCTGGAAGGCTTGATTGACACAGGCGCAGACGTTTCTGTAATTTCTAGTAGTTGCTGGGACCCCACGTGGCCCCTTGAGTCTGCCTCTGCAGTCTGGGGTGTGGGTGGCCCCCAAACCTCTTCCAAAAGCGTACAGTGGCTGCCTGTTTCTCTGCCTGATAGCTCTGAAACCATTGCTTACATCCAGCCCTGTGTGCTGAAAATCCACCTCAATCTGTGGGGAAGAGACTTACTACAACAATTACAAGCTACCATTCAATTTAATGAGTAAGCTTGCACTTCCCTCAACTGGAAATCTTCTGGTCGTGTCCTGGCTATACGTTTAATTACATTCCAGCAATACATCAGCCATGGCACACCTTGCTGTTTAAGCCGTTTGTCCATCATTTTACCCAAGAAGCATCATTTATCCCGCTCTCGATATCGCTGCAATATTGAATTGACTAATGATTGTGATGCTTTTGTCTCTCTTCTCAGTAGGTCTGAATATATCTCTTTAGCTGTTTCTCTCTTAGGAGTCCCTGGATTGGCTGTACGGAATCGTATGAACATTAATTTGCTTGTTATGAGCAAAAGCCCTGAATCTTACTTCACAAGCTCTTCACCTTTTGAATAAAGAGCAGAGTGAACTATATAATGGACTTTTATGAAATCGTGCTGCTATCACTATTTGCTCATGCTTCATCATTATGGCTGTGAACAAGTGAATGACATGTGTTGTTTCAATATTACTGACAATTCAAGAGCCATTCAAAGTCAAATCTCTCATTTGCAAAATCTTACACATCACATTAAACAGGACATTGGTTTTCCTGGCCTCTGGGATTCTTTCACCCAGTGGCTCACCGCTTGGTTGCCAAACCTGAATTGTCTTCGTGGTCTTTTTCAATATGCTATTTTCATAATTTGTATTCTTATTTTACTATGCTGTTTCCTTCAATGCGTTCCTAGCCTCATGAGTCTTTTCTCTCGGCTTCTCTCCCCCCCTCAACCACCCAGTAAACTCCTTGCTGCTTACATTGCGAAATGGCAACACCAACAGTAAACCTTAGGGGAGATGTGGGCGGATTTATTTTGGGCATGCGCTGGCAAACCACGTATCCTGAAGTACTTTTGTCCCATCGACCCTGGCAGGCTTATTTCGGGCATTCGCTGGCACACCACTAATCCCGAAGTATTTCTGCCTTATCTACCTAGAACGCCTCGCAAACAAGAAAAGAAAGGGGGAGATGAAGGGAAGTTTTCTTTCTGCAGTTCTCTCACTGTGAAGTTCTCTTTCTGCAGTTCTCTTACTGCACATAACTCTTGCATTCTGGGAAGTCTCGCTCATAATCTTTTCTCTGCTTCTGCACAAGAGTCTGAGAATGTTCTGAACAGTTCCCATTGAGTTCATGAAACAGTGTATCCTGACCTGTTCTTAATGCATTGCTGACCACATTTACGGAACGTGATTGTTGTATTCCTTCATGTTATGTTCTCTCAATATCAATCTTTAGTTATAATTTAATTAGGAGGTTTCATGCCTGTCTAGTTCCAGCTCCGCTTCCCAGTCTTTGAACTATCAGTGATTAATGTAATATGTTATTCCCGCCTTGTACCTATGTTAACCAATCAGCAACAAGATGCTTTGTGTTTGTATCAGCCAATCAGCCACAAGCACACCTGTGGCAATGTTTGTAATATTCAATAAAAGAGAGTTCCCGGGACTTGCCCCGGGCAGACGCCTCTCCTTTGACACCCACCATTCGTCTGTCGTGATTTCAACCCAACACATGAAGAACTTTGTTAGTTTGTGCAACACAACAAGAATCAACATTAGACACAACAGCACCAATGTCATCATAAGTTATACAGAACAAGCCATCCATAAACTTTGCATGCAAAATGTCCTCTTTGCCTTTTCTGATGACACAGACGCTCCTCTTGAAGGAAATCTCAAAACCACGCCCAGTCAACTGTGGGACACTGAGCAAATTGCTGCAGCGCCTGGAACATACAGTACATCTTTGATGGTAGTGTGCAGACTTGCCAGATTCACAGTCCCTTCTCCTGCGATTCGCATCGTCTTTCCGGCAGCCAGGTGGATCTCACCTTCTTGAGGTCGAAGGATGTCAAGGAAATAAACAACTATCTGACTTAGAAGACATCTGAAGGCAGCCCTGATTAGGGAAGTTTTTAATTTGTTGTTTAGTCGTCTTAGTCATGTTTGACTCTTCGTGACCCCATGAACCAGAGCATGCCTTGGAAACTCTCACTTTCTTCTCAAAACTTCTCCCTTTTTATGTCCATGGAGTTTTCTTGGCAAAATACTGGAGTGGTTTGCCAGTTCCTTCTCCAGGTGGATCACATTTAGTCTAAACTCTTAGCTATGACTTGTCTGTCTTGGATGGCCCTGCACGGCATAGCTCATAGCTTCTTCGAGTTCTTCAAGCCCCTTTGCCACGACAAGGCAGTGATTCATGAAGGGGAAGTTTTTAATGCTTAATGTTTTATCGTGTTTTTAATATTCTGTTGGGAGCCACCCAGAGTGGCTGGGGAAACCCAGCCAGATGGGCGGGGTATAAATAAAACAACAACAACAACAACAACAACAACAACAACAACAACAACAACAACAACAGGTTAAACTCTTTCGGACTCAAAGTCACATTACCACATGGCCAGCCCACAAAGGACAGCGTGCCAGGGGTGGGTATGGACAAATCGAAAATCCGAATGGCCAAAGTGGACACAACCACCCAGACTCTTATGCACCAACACTTAACACACAACCTTCTTTCCTCTTGTCTCTTTGCTTTATTCCTATTGCATGCCCTGCCCAATGGACCGTCTTAAACCATAAATAATGAGACACAAGTTCTACTTTTGGGTCATATCAGGCCACAACCTTGACTACAGATGTAGTAGACGTAGTAGGGGTGGGTAGGCCCCAACCCTTCCGGCCCGCCTGCTGGAAGTACTTAAGATGGGGTCAACCAGAAGAGAGGGGGTTCTTGACCTACATCAAAGAGTAGCTCTCTCTCTGGATTGCCCTTGGGGAGTGCTGTGGCTCCACCCCACCTGGGCGCCCAGACAGAAGCACCTCCCCTGGATCCCTTTAACAGGATACCCCATTTTCTGGAGGGGTAAGCAGAGGCCACAACCTTCCCTCCATCCAAGACTATGCTTACTCAACCATCAAAGTTGTGACGATTGCTATGAGGATGGTGGAAGATCAGCCACGATGCACCTTTTAATCCTCAGGGAGTGGACCCAAACAAAGCCAGCAGGCCCAGCCAGTTTCGTCCCCTGGGAGTGCCCGTCCCCCAAACTGCTCACAACTGGCCGATTGTGCAAGCAGGCTGAATCCACTTCCCAGTTCTGGGACGTCCTTTGCCGCATGAGAAGTGATTCAGAGGGGTCAAACATCTTTCTTTGTTCTGGCCTGAGTCAGTGGGCATTAAGCGGTCTTTGGAGAAAGTCAGGACGTGAAGTTGGAAAAAAGTGATGCTTAAGCATGAGTTTTTACTCTGTTATGGTTAGTACTAGCAAGGGGGCAGGGCTACAACAGGGTTTTGTGTGGCGGGTGCAGGGGTGGGGGAAAGATTTTTAATGTTTGATCTTTTATTGTGTTTTTAATATCCTGTTAGAAGCTGCCCAGAGTGGCTGGGGAGGCCCAGCCAGATGGACAGGGTATAAGTAATAAATTATAAGATAGATTTTCAGTCAGGATTGGTTTGGGCAGGTGAGGCAGAGGGAACAAACAGCCAATACAGTGGTACCTTGGTTCTCGAACGGCTTAGTTGTCGAAGAAATTGGCTCCCAAATGCCACAAACCGGGAAGTAAGTGTTCCAGTTTGCGAACGTTTTTCAGAAGCCGAATGTCCGACGCGGCTTCCGCTTGAGTGCAGGAAGCTCCTGCAGCCAATCAGAAGCCCTGCCTTGATTTTTGAACGGTTTCGGGAGTCAAATGGGCTCCTGGAATGGATTAAGTTCGAGAACCAAGGCACCACTGAATATGGAATTCAAAGGGAATACGGCAATGTTAAAAATGGTGGCCAATGTTGCAGAGCAATGGAGTCACCTTACACGTGATGGACAGGCTGTAAGTAAATATTCTGTGGTTTGGTAGATAGTAAGTCACCGTGAGCTGAGTAAAAGAGCCCTATGATTGAGGGATGGTAAGCATCTCCCAAGGGGCTTAACATTAATCACTGGGCTGTAGTGCTTAACCCTGAGATCAGAGATAAAAGATCCTTCTGCTCACTCATTAGAGAGGAACTCTAGATCCTTTCAGAGTCAAGGGGATTTTATCTCCCAGTCAGGAGATAAAGGGCTCTTCTGGCTTTTCAGAGATCACTCTCCAAAGAACAGAGGACTTCTGCTTCTTGTTGTTAGCAGAGGCACTTGAATAAAGCAGACCACGTCCAGAGATAAAATCTTTACTGAATAAACACAACAAAACAGTTTACAACTTGAGCAGAAAGAAACTGAGGGGTACTGCTTTTGGAGAGGAGTTAAACTAAACCTCCCCAAGAAACGCCCCCCTTACACTTAGAAAGCCTATCAGAGCAAATGCTACCTTAGTAATGTAGCAGGAACCCCCCACCCCAATCATTCAGTTTGTACAAACTTCACACACTCACACTCACACACTACATATGCCACACTTCTGTTATAAATTCATAGAAAAATCAACCATACATCGGATTTGCACTGTTCCATTTTTATTTTACTCCATATGACAAGGACTATCAAAGGGGGGTGGCTTGGTTCTAGTCAGCCATAATCCCTTCACCATCCCAGCACATCCACAGGAGCCCTGCCCAGTTGCTATGCCAACCCTGATGGTCCTAGAAAGAAGACCATCAAGATCACAGAGAACTTGCATATGGGAGTGGATTCAGCATGGACTGAAACAAAGGACAATGATCAGATCTTCCCTCTGGGGGCAGGAAACTGCCAACTCCCCTTTGTCTCCTGGAAGTGACTCATGGGCAGGGGGAAAGGAGGAACCAGCCAGGTGACAGGACACTCAGGTTACCACCACAACTCCTCCCTCAACCCCTCCTTTCTGTAATGTATGCATGATGTTTCTGGGGGTGGGCTTGACCTAGAGGATGGGAATTTCAAAAGTTTTTATAAGGTCTTGCACACCATCTTTCTGGGTCTTTCCTCTCTTTCGCAAGTGAGGAGAACACCCTGTTGCAACAGTTCAATAAAGGCCAAGCCTACAGGCTGCTGTTTTGCTCCAAGTTATCCTGGTTGGTGTCTTTATTTTGTCCAAGGGAGCCCTCGGATTTTTCCGGTAACAGTAAATATTATGCTACGTCCTCAGGTGCTAAGCTTGGCCCCCACCCCTCTTGGGTAGCTGAGGAACATTGAGAGTTTCAGGGGCTGGCGGCACTGGAGGAGGAAGAGGGGGGTGGGGGAGCGCACCACCCCCAGCACCACAATCCCGGTGGGGTGCCATTGTGGCTGCCCCCCATGCGCTGGGTGCCATGCCCCCGCAGGCGATGCGCCATGCTCCCAAGACGCAAGCCACGACCCTGCAGGCGGCACACCATGCCCCCAGGGATGCACAGATGCCCCCCCATGCGCGCCAGCCACTCCCCCGCCTGCTCTCTGCCGGACTGCTGGCAGACTGCTTCCTGAAGCTTAGCAAAGCCTACAGCCATCAATTAGCCAACCCTGGCCTAAATAAAAACAGTCTAATGTGATCAGTGCTAAATTGTATAATAAAATTAGGGCTGCAGTATTTAATTCACCACCTATATTAATCAATTAAAAAGTGTTTAACTAACTAAAAAGGCACCGTGAGACAGGAGAGTTTTTTATAAGCAAATTATTAAGCAATGTCCTAAGATGTATTCTTCATCTTTCTCACTCCTTGTTAATGTGTGCTATGTTTAAAAACAAAGTGAGTTTTGCATCAGAAATTCTCTTTACACATATGCAAATCTGACCATGTTTAATCACTATATTAATTGATTAAAACATATAAGTTAACATTATTGGGTTACTGCTTTTGGTTTGACTGTATATGTTGTGGTGTTGTTGTGAACTGCCCTGAGACCTCTGGGTATAGGGCGGTGTATAAGCTGAATTTAATAATAATAATAATAATAATAATAATAATAATAATTCCTTTGACTTGTAGTCCAAAATGAAATTAAAGAAACATGTGCCAAAGTTTTATCAAGCAGTCCAATGCATTCCAAGTGACTGGTCAGTATAAAAGGAAGTAGTAGCAGGTTGATATCTTACCGTGTAGTTGGGTAGAATACTGGTTACATATTTTCCCTTCTATTTCCATAACACAAAGAATTGCGCATTGTTCTTTTAAAAAGTTTGAAAATCCAGGAATAGAACCTCAAATGGTTCTCCCCTAGTCCTTCCTTCTGGCACAAACATGACACATGAGAAAGATTTCCACCTCTCTCAGAGGAAAATTTGAACAGAAATGGACTGCCAAATAATCATTTAGCTGTGCATTGTTCTGAGACTGGCATCTATAAGCCTCTAATGGCACCTCCATTGTAGGTTCTGTGGGAACCACTGTGCAAGCAGAAAAACTGGTTGCTATGAGTTCAGGGATGCCAGATATGTATAATTCCTGGATCCAGTAAGAATTTTATCAAGGCTTGAAGTGTTAAACTGGGTGCCAGACACTGAACCCCTGGATTTAGCAAGTGCTAAAATATAAGCTATGCTAGTTTACTTGATGAGGTAATTGCCTGGGTGATGGGCCATTAAGAGAACATAGCAAAAGTGATGGGCCATTAAGAAAGCCAAGGAGAGGGGGCTCTGTGCTAGACAGAAAATGGCTGGGGCCCTTTCTCTTGCTCTTAGATAGTTAGAAGGACAAAAGCCTGTGTTTTAGAGTTCAGGGTTGGCTGTGATGTGACCTGGGGGGCGGGGAGGTTGCAGGCTGGAAAAGGCAGAGAGAGAGCATAATGTTTTTTCGCTTGAATCCCAATCTGTGGCTATGGGAGAAACAAGAACCCCTCAATCACAGGCTGAGGTTGTATAAATATGATCCTCTGCCTCGTTTCCAAAAGAAAGCATGAACCCTAGGTAAGCACCTGGAATCCCTGGACTCTTGGGTTGCTTGGAGATTGGGGCATAGCTGTCAACTTACAGATTTGAAAATAAGGGACCAGCAGCCTCGAAAATAAGGGATCAGCAGCCAAAATAAGGGATTTTGCTTAGCTTATGAGTTCCATCGGCCCTTCCCCACCCAAGAGGGAGGGAGAGAGACTCTCGCCCATGCCACCCGTGAGCCTGGCATGAGGCAGTTGCGGCGCCACCACGGCCGCTGAAGCACCGCCCTTCTGCGTCCCTCCCCATCCCCTCCTCTTCCTCCCCCCTCAGGCCGCTGCTGCCGCTGCTGCCTCTGGCTTTCCCTGGCAGCGCGGTGGAAGCTCGCATGAGAGGGGCTGCCTGCCTGCCAGCCGCCCCCCTTTCCCGGGGGGAAAGGGAGAGACGGAGACGCGGCAGCTCGTGTGCGCTCTCTCTCTCGCTCTCTCTCGGCAGAGGACCCCGAGCTGCTGCTTCCCTTCTGAGCCGGGCGAGCATGAAACCCGGGAAATTTAAGGGACATCATCAATCCGGGACAGCAGCGGGACACGGCGCTGGGATAAGGGAGTTTCCTGCCAATTAAGGGACGGTTGACAGCTATGCATTGGGGTGGCGAGCAACAGTATTAACTAAAGCTTTCATATACAATGGTAACCTTGGTTTTTGAACTTAATCTATTCCGGGAGTCCATTCAACTCCTGAAACCATTTGAAAACCAAGGCACAGCTTCCAATTGGCTGCAGGAGCTTCCTCCACTCAATTGGAAGCTGCGAAAGTCGCTTTGGACGTTCAGCTTCTGAAAAACGTTCACAAACCGGAATGCTTACTTCCAGGTTTGTGGTGTTCGGGAGCCAATTTGTTCAATAACCAAGCCGTTCAGGAACCAAGATACCACTGTAATTAAACAAGAAGAAAATAAGGTATTGTGAAACTGCATATCCTAAAATGCCTATATTTTAATGTCTTTTAGACTGTTGTGAAAAAACATATGCAAAAAGCAATTTGCATGCTTTCTAGAAACAGCAAAGTAAATGGTAGTTTACTGCGTTCAACCCACTTCATCTAGTAGGAGTCTACGGGAGAAATCTATACAATTTGCAGTGCCCACTAACTCCTCTTCAAAACAGAGAAATGGAAACCGAAGGGGAATTTGACCATGTGAAAACTGCAGAAAAATGCATCCAACGGAAGGTAAATTCTCAAGTCTTTTTCCCCAATGAGACACATGCCACAATTTCCCCAGTATGACAACATGGGTTTGTGCCTCAAGTTCGTGGCAGTTTGACACTGCTTATATAATTTCGGTATAAAATCCAATAAAAACGGGTTTTTGGAGATCACAACATCTTCAAGGATCGTGAAAATGGGAGGAAGGAAAAGTCCAATCAGCGGATTTGTAACTTATGTTTTGAATGATCACTAAGCTTCAGTTTTTATACCGTTAAGCTGTAGGATATACATAGCAGACTGATGGATTTGACATGGCTTATGTCCAACACAAGTTGCTTGCTTCTTGACACAAAGTACTTTTTTTTTTTAAGGCCCCTGACCAATCCAGATGATGAGAATCAAGAGCTACATCTTAAGTGGGAAAAGATCACATTGCACTTTCTGTTTTGAAACTAATGGGTCGGCCATAAGAGTCTTATTTTGACCGTCTGCACCTTCCTGTATTATTTCAATATGAGCTCATTTCTGCTTTGCCCCGTTTTTCTTCTTTGCCAATGAATAATGCCATGTCAAAAGAACCAGAGCACCAGACATTTCAAGCAACTCAGAATTTAACTATGAAGCAGAAATAGCACAGCTAAAATGTAGGTTCCAAAAATGAAGGCGTGGGGGAAGGCTTTTACATTCTGTTTTTTCAAGCATTCCTCATAGCAGACATGGGTTGAACTGGAGCAGACCTGTATGTCTCATCATGTCTACTTTGCTAGCTATGGTCTTCCAGAGGGTGGCAGGTTCTTGAACATCTGGTGTGCTCCTTGAATATATTTGGCTCCAACTCTCTGCATGATATAACAGAGCCGCGTGTAAGCCTAGCCTAATCTGTGCAATAGGCCTGCTAGCGACTGCTAAGATGTCGGCTGGTCTGCAACACACACACTGGCTGAACTTTTCTGAACTTGCATGTGTTCTATGATCCTCCACTGGAATGTTTTCAGAAGCCCTGCCTGTCTTCCAAGGTCTGGCACTATGCGTTTTATGGACTTTCCAGATGCTGTAGTTATCTGTTCAGACTGAGCAGTGATCAATCAACCAGCCAGATGATCTTGCTCCAGGAAATGCTTCAGCTGTGACAGAACCACTTGCCCCTAAAGCCAGACTACTTGTGAATGGAGATTTTCTTCACCAAATACAACGACCATGGATGCCAATGATCTGCATTTAAGCTTGGACAGAGGCCCCTCTGCTGCCTACGTACCTTGGGGATGCTCAGGTGACTCCCCCCCATTCCACTTGAAAGAATGAATGGGTGGTTGTGGGTCTGCACAGGCCAGCCGCACCCCACTCCTGTGTGCAGTAGCAATGGCCTCTGCACTTTGGGCTGGTGTGTGATGGAACTCTACATGGGACCTCTAGGTAAGGGTGGAACTTGGCATAAATAGGCCCCCTTCCTCATGCAGAGAAGATGTTCATGTGTACCCCTTTCTAATGCCAGTGGAATGAGCAAATAGTGCGGTCCCCGAGTGTGTCACCTATTGTGGAGGCAAGACTAATTCACAGAGCTCCCCTTGAACATTTTTTCAACAGATGGGGAGGGATCTGAAGGAATCTTCATACTGTTTTTGAGAGCTCATCCATTTTTACCTTTCCTCAGTGCTTTTTTCCTAAAAAAATGTTTAGGGGTACAGTGGATGCTCGAACGTGATCCGTGCAGGAGGCACATTTGCATGCCGCAGTGTTCGCAACCCGCAGTGTTGTGTCTGCACATGCGCAGGTTGCAATTTGGTGCTTCTGCGCATACGCAAAGCACGATATAGCACTTCTGCGCATGTGCGAGCGCCGAAACCCAGAAGTAACCTGTTCCAGTACTTCTGGGTTCGGCACGGTGCACAACCCGAAAACGCAAAACCCGAAGCGTCTGTAACCCGAGGTATGACTGTACTCCCATTTTCCTACTCATATTGAAATACTGCCCCTCAACGAGGCCTAACTTAGATTCACAAAATGTTTAGGGGTGTGTGTCCCCCTGCATCCCCCCAGAAAAAAGCACTGCCTTTCCTTAATGAAAGAAAACCAGAGATTGTGTGTATCTCAGACCCTCCAAGTGTCCCTATTTTCCAGGGACAGTCTTGGATTTACAGAAGCCACCCCAGTTTCTGATTTCATCCTGGAATTTCCCACTTTTCCTTAGGACGTCCCAATTTTAATTGGAGAAATGTTGGAGGGTATGGTGCCTGTCTCTCTGTGTGTGACATCGCATGTAGCCATTGCAAATACAGCTTGTGCAGCCACTGAAGTAGAGGGAAACCAACTCAAAGCAGGATTCAAGTGCATGGATGTTTTTCTGCATGCAGCAGGTACACAGAAAGTTTCCGGGCAGAGAACTCGAAAGCCTCAAGGGTGATATAGGTGGACCAACTATGGCAGCAAGAACTGCAAAAACCACAAAAGGGGATATTGAATCAGGCACTTCAGAACTCCTGGTTAAAAATGCTAGCACAGTTCAACTGAAGCAAAATTTGAAAGAGGAAAGCTTTATTGTGTATTTTATTTATGGTTCTATACTTGTAACCCACTTAGAAGCCACTCTTTGTGATTAAGACATACATAAATGGAACAGCAGCAACAACAATTTGTTATGGACTGTCCACTGGCAGAGGAAGAGGAGTGGGGGGGGGAGCGCACCGCCTGCGGCAGTGAGATCCCGGTGGGGTGTCATCGCGGCTGCCCCCCCGGGGGCAGTGCCATGCCCCTGAGGGTGGCGTGCCACACCCCCGGGACGCGCGCCAGCCCCGCCCCCGCCTGCTCTCCATCCCCCCGGGTGCCGGAGCATGAAGCTCCACCATTGGGACTGTCCCATCTGTGGTGCAGCCTCTACTTGAGTGTTCTTCAAAATAGTTATGGATTTTTATATTTGATTTTTGTATTTCAGACTAATTTTAGTTCAGGTCTGGCTAGACTGAAGAGGTGATGGTGACCACATTATTGTGAATCATGCCTAAGACAAAGCAGATAAGGTCAAGAGATAATGCTGTGACAACACTGTCTCAAGACTTAGACAAAGCACCACCCAGCTCGGGGGTTGTTTTTTTGAGCATCCAACAGCATTATGAAGAAGAACTGAGTGAGAAGAAAGGAATTTGCCCTTTCAGATAATTTTGTTGGCCCATGCAGATTTGGCATTCCAAAGGAAAGAGAATGTGAAACCTTGTTATCTGGCAATCAAGCAACAACTCTTTCTAATGCCTTTGAAGCCAAACCTGAGTTCTGTATGACTCATTTGTAGTTGAGTTTATAGTGATCCATGTTTTCCTGGCTTTAAAGTGTGACATACTTAATCTCTTAATAGTCCAGAGTTCAAGTTTAGCACTCGATTGAAACAGATTCATCTATCACTGAATGTCAAAATACAGTTGTATTTGTAGCACTCCTTTTACAAACTCCAGATATTCCATTGAATCAAATTCTACCTAGTTTTGTGCAATAGTAGCGCAGGCTGCCTGAACACCGTTAGCAAGGTTTCAATTTCTGTTCCGACATGTTTTCATTAAAGTGGGCTTCTTCCATTCAATTGCTGTCCTCTTGCAACGACACAAAGCTATATTTGTTTTGCTTTCTTTTTAAATGGCCTGTCTTTCCTAATTATTTACATTGTAGTCTTTTTCTTTTGCTACCCAATTTCTTGCATAACCATATGTCAAGCCACCGGGTGGCGCCTGTGGTCAACTCTCCCTTCATTTAAAAACTTTGCCTTGAACATTCAGTACTATTATGATTGTTTAAAGAACAAATAGTGGGGTGAAAGGAAAAATGAATAAACGAATGACAAAGTATTACATAGTAATAATTACTATGTACTACTTCTTAGGTGTCCTATGTGAAATAATGGTTATAGTATTGGACTTGTTGGCTGGAGTGTTGGACATAGGATTTTTTGCGGCAAGTATTAGGATAGAGATTAAAGGTTTAAATTCTTGTTCCTTTCTACTTCAGTAATGTTAAACAAGGTCAGCAGTGCTGTAGGACGTGGGTGGCGCTGTGGTCTAAACCACTGAGCCTCTTGGGCTTGCCGATCAGAAGGTCAGCAGTTTGAATCCCTGACGTTGCTCTGTCCCAGCTCCTGCCAGCCTAGCAGTTCGAAAGCACGCCAGTGCAAGTAGATAAATAGGTACCACTGTGGCAGGAAGGTAAATGGCATTTCCATGTGCTCTGGCTTCCATCACGGTGTCCTGTTGCACCAGAAGCGGTTTAGTCATGCTGGCCACATGACCCGGAAAGCTGTCTGTGGACAAACACCTGATCCCTCGGCCTGAAAGCGAAATGAGAGCCACAACCTCATAGTCGCCTTTGACTGGACTTAATCGTCCAGGGGTCCTTTACCTATTACACATCCAGTTATGTCTGAGGTGCATTGAGTTATGTTCTCCAAGCACGTGTTACATATGTTTTGTTGTTGTTTAGTCGTTCAGTCATGTCCAACTCTTTGTGACCAAATGGACCAGAGCACACCAGGCACTGCTGCCCATTCTCGTGCTGCCACCCTCCGCACCTCTCGAGGAGGAGGCTCACAAAGAAGGGCCTCAAAAGACGATACCAGGGTTTGGGCAGATTCATATGGAAAGAGGCGGTCCTTGAGGTATTGAGGTCCAGAGCCGTTTTAAGGCTTTATAGGTCAAAACCAGCATTTTGATGTTGTTTTGATGTTTTGATGCATCTACAGATAAGAGACACAGATACTGTTGAGATTTTAATTTTTTTTAATATGATAAACCAGCTTTGATGTTTTTCTTCATGGGTCTGAATATGCTGAGGCTTTGTGCTAAAATATTTGTACGAAAACTGCACCCTGATTTACCAGACTGGTATAGTTCTGTAAGAATCCATGCGTTCAACACCCACCACACCTGTTCCTATCTATACCGTAAACCTCTCTGTGATCCTCGGATGAAGGACAGTGTAGAAATTGAATAGACAAATAAATCTCAATATGCTAACTAATCTTTCCCCCCCTCACGTCCGCCAATAACTTTTTTGGTATCCCATTCATAACCTTCCTCCAAGCTGTCTCCTGCAGAAACTTCCTCCTTGGCCCCATTAACTCCAACAGGAAACTCCTAATTTGAAAGTATTGAAACCATGGTGATTGCCATCCAGCTGTAGTCAGAGAAATGTCACAAATAAAAGCTCGTCTTAATTTAGTTCTCCAAACCATGAAATCCTATTTCTCTGCCTGCTAATAAAATCCATATCCTGATTTCTCACAGAAAACCTATGATGCAATACCACAGATGCTATATGTGAAATATCAGAGCTTAATTTTGTTTTATATTTATCCCATGTTTTTAATAATCGAGACAAAATTTGGCTTCGTTTCAAGTCCACTTCCCTTTTCAAGGATTTCCCCATTTTAAAATAGTGATTTATTGACCACTTCATATTTAGAAAAAGAAAGTACAATGGTACCTCAGGTTAAGAACTTAATTTGTTCTGGAGGTCCGTTCTTAACCTGAAACTGTTCTTAAACTGAGGTACCACTTTAGCTAATGGGGGCGCCTGCTGCCGCCACCGCACAATTTCTGTTCTCATCCTGAAGCAAACCTGAGGTACTATTTCTGGGTTAGTGGAGTCTGTAACCTGAAGCGTCTGTAACCTGAAGTGTCTGTAACCCGAGGTATCACTATACCCTGGTCCCAAGTTGTTAAGGGTGACAGGAGACCCACTGATCCTCCCAAAAGCCTTGTTTCCTGGTGAATGGAAACACCTAGCTAATCAGGATACTGTAGCGTTATTTGCCGCAATTTAGATAAAGCACTTTCTTCCAGACTGGCACCCACAACCAAACAGCTGAAAGCACTTCATAACTTCCCCTCCAATTTTACTCCAATCGGTGTCCTTCGACCAGTGTAGTGGTCAGGTGTAAGGATTCTAGGACCTCGACAGAACCCTCATGCATCCTTCTTGTAGCCAAGCAAGTACTTACTGGGTGCTATCTCCACTTGGTGCCCAGTGTGGAGAAACTGGTTGTGCTGCCCTAAAACCGCCTCTGCTATGAGCAGGACACGATTGTAAGAGCACTATCAGCTCTTAGACTTCCTATCAACTGGTATTCAGAGTCATACTGCCTCTGATCATGGAGAAAAAGCACAGCCAAGTCATTATCCTTCATGAACTGGTCAAATCCTCTTTTTAAAGCCTTCTAAGTTGGTGGGAGGGGCGTGGGTAGCTCTGTGGGTTAAACCACAGAGCCTAGGGCTTGCCGATCAGAAGGTCGGCGGTTCGAATCCCCGCGATGGAGTGAGCTCCTATTGCTCGGTCCCTGCTCCTGCCAACCTAGCAGTTCGAAAGCATGCAGTGCAAGTAGATAAATAGGTACTGCTGCAGTGGGAAGGTAAACTGTGTTTCCGTGCGCTGCTCTGGTTCTCCAGAAGTGGTTTAGCCATGCTGGCCACATGACCTGGAAGCTGTCTGTGGACAAACGCCGGCTCCCTCAGCCTACAGAGCAAGGTGAGTGCGCAAGCCCAGAGTCGTCCACGACTGGACCTAATGGTCAGGGGTACCTTTACCTTTTAAGTTGGTGGTCATTCACTGGCTGCCAGTGAGTTACTGGGCCCAGTTCAAGGAGTCAATACTAGCATATAAAGCCCTAAATGGCTTAAGATCCAAGTACAGTGGTACCTCGGTTCTTGAATGTAATCCGTTCCGGAAGACCATTCGACTTCTGAAATGTTCGAAACCGAGGTGCAAAGGGCTGTCCGCAAATTTAATTGAGAAAATTGAAAAACACGCAGTGGAAGCTGCCCTAAGTCCCTAGAAGGATCCTAGACACTGTCTGTTTAATTGACACTGAAATGGGGAATGCCTAAATGTGTATTACTGAAGACTTTAACATGGGGATTTTCCATGGGGCTATACTAAGTGGTCTCTGAGCATCTGGTTGGGTTGAAAAACTATCGTTGCTTTCTGCTAGCTAACATGTGAGTGTTTAACCTTAAATCAGGTGACAAAGGTATTTGGTTGCAAATTTGCCATCTTGGGAGGGTGGTGGTGGCTGAGTCTTTGCTCTCAGGCTCTGTGAGAGTAAGATGTGATAATGGAGCTCACTCCGGGAGTACACAGCCACAGGCAAAATGGAGGCTATAGGAAGACAGAGACCTCTGCTTCTAGGTCTGTTTGGAATTATCTTTTATTTCTAAGAAAATGAACCTGTGTTGGACTTGTACAATATATTGTATGGAGCTATTTTGATGTATCTTTGATGTTTCTGTTCTGTTTTGAAGAAAGTTCTGCAAGAAAAGCTTTGAAGCAAACTTATGGGCCTTGGCAATGTTTTTATTCCAAAAGGAGTTAGTTTTTCTCCACCTTGTTGCTTCAAACTGCACAATATTAATATCTGCAATAAAGTTGGTAACTTGGAGTTCCCTATTTGAGGCTGCAGTACTATGCACCTTACCTGAGATTAAGCTCTGTTAAAGACAGTTGGAATTACTTCTGAGTAAATCTAATTAATTTAAAACATTTATATACAAACATGCTTAGGATTTCACATTCAGACTGTTATTAATACATGATTCCCCTTGCTAGGACACGGATACTGGTATTGCTGTCTTCTTTATGGTCTTCTTCTCTGAATGTTCCATTGCTGTTGCACATGGTGGTTGTATAGTTTATACCTACAAAAATATCAGCAGGAGCAGCAGTAATATTGACAGTAGTAGTGGCATTCAGTTTACTGTGAAACCAGAAGGCTATAACAGTTTGATGCCAAAAACCCAGAAAGAAAACTGTTCCCAGTCAGCTGATCTGCCTTTACGAAGGGCTGAAGCCTGGATTCCTTCCCAGTTTGCAGCTCCAATGTTTCCATGATGCCTCTTCAGAGATTGTGCAGAACATCTGGGGGCAGTAAGTCCTTCTTTAATCTTAGGGAAATGCTCTGCATGTGACTTCATAGCCTTTTGAAACACACAAGACACAAATAGTTTGCGCAGTTGAAATGAGCTCACTGGCAACACACAGCCAATCCCATACACTGCAGCTCTAAGTTGTGCTTCCAGGCCACATGGTGCAGTAAAGACCTCTATGGTGAGAAAGTAGCTGAGCATCCAGCACTTTGAAGCAGTTTTTGCCTGTGAAGTACCCTTTCCTGGCAGAAATTTCCAGACATATCTGGCCCTCCATAGGAAATGAGTAATATTTCTTCGTGGATTGCTAATGAACAGTGGAGGAACAACTTTTCTCCCCATTACACAAAAATTCCAAATGCGAGATGGCAGCTGTTTAGTGAGTACAACTAGCATAGCTCAGCCTTTCTCAACTTTGGGTCCAATGTTGGGTTGGACTACAACCTCCATCATCCCTGATAACCTCTCCTGATAGCTAGGCATGATGGGAGTTGTAGTTCAACAACATCTGGGGACCCAAGGTTGAAAAAGGCCATGCTAGGTAGTCCTCAACCTATTTCGCTTCTCCATGGGATTTGACAATAGCCCTGTGCAGATGACTGTATCAAATAGGGTACACTCAATACATGAAATAAGTGTTGTAGAGGAAAGTGAGGGGGAAATGGGGCTTGTTAACCTGGGAAGGCAGCCCATCTAGAAGAATGAAAAGTCTGATCCTAAACCTCTGCTGGCTTGTGGGATATCTTTGGGAGAAGGACAGTAAGGAGTAAACCCTACACAAATCCACAGCAGAGTTTCCAAGGCTGTTGGATGGCATCCTGTATGTCTCCTTCTGGTAACCCCTGCAACCAAGCTGGTGCCAAACGTATTGCTCTGCTCTCCTTTGGACCACATCAGCAAGGCCAAAAGGATGGAGTGGGGATCTTGTCATCTGGGAAGCCCAGGACCTCCATACACACTGCTCAGACTTGAGCCCCGGAGAGGACACTTTGGTGATGCTAATGCAACAGTGTGACTTCACCCACAGAGGCATACTCCATTGTCTCTTGAGACAGATGAACGCCAACAACATGTAGAATATAAAGCAGGTTCTGCTGCCATCATTCAATTCCCACCTCCAAAGTAGGAGAGTCCACCACCTTCTGAGGGGGTCCGTTCCATTATCAAACAGGTCTTCTGGATCCCAACTAAACACAAGGATGAACTTTCTGACTGTAAGAGCTCTTCAAAAGTGGAATGGACCCCCTTAGAAGGTGATGGACTCTGCTTCATTGGAGGTTTCTAAGCAGAAGTTCAATGAATGGCCATCTGTCATGTATGCTTTAGCTGAAATTCCTGCATTGATGACCCTCAGGATCCCAAACAATTCTACAGTTTGTTGTTGTTTAGTCGTTTAGTCATGTCTGACTCTTCATGACCTCATGGACCAGAGCACGCCAGGCCCTTCTGTCTTCCACTGCCTCCCGCAGTTTGGTCAAACTCATGTTGGTAGCTTCGAGAACACTGTCCAACCATCTCGTCCTCTGTCGTCCCCTTCTCCTGGTGCCCTCAATCTTTCCCAACATCAGGGTCTTTTCCAGGGAGTCTTCTCTTCTCATGATGTGGCCAAAGTATTGGAGCCTCAGCTTCAGGATCTGTCCTTCCAGTGAGCACTCAAGGCTGATTTCCTTCAGAATGGATAGGCTTGATCTTCTTGCAGTCCATGGGACTCTCAAGAGTCTCCTCCAGCACCAGAATTCAAAAGCATCAATTCTTTGGCAATCAGCCTTCTTTATGGTCCAGCTATATGTTAAGCCCACCATGCACAGTTTACTTCAGTTATGGAGATGTAATCTACACAAGGGTGATAATTCTTAGATAATAATGACAGTATGTTGTCCAAAAAAAGGGGATAAATTTTTGTTTTCTCACCTCCCCCCATATGTTTTGGTGGAAGTCATTAGCAAGTCTTCCTTGTGGTTAATTATGTCTTGCCCACATCTCTCACACTAAGCATATGGCTAGCGGGTTTAGTGATGGCAAACTGCTCAGCAAACATATGCTTTTGATTTCAGAAGGAGATTTAGTTTCCTTTCTTCCATGTCCTATTTGCTGAGGCTCAAAGACTTAAGATAGCTTTCTAAGAATATAATTTCATTACCAGGGCAGTCTGGGTTGTGGAAACATGTCTGATCATTCCCTTACTGACGTCCCTCGGATATATTAAAATGAATATAATTCAATCACCAAGTATTTTTGTTCCATCAGGTTTTGCTTCAACCTATTAACACGGCGTTCTCCCAGCTGCTAGCAGACAGGAGCCAACTGGGTCTTCTGCTCGGACAGGTGTTTGATTTAGGTCGTACACTGGAGTCTCAAAAATAACTGAAAAATGATTCACACAGTCATCTTCGTAACTCAATTTTTTATTCCTGGATCTGTTTTCAATAGAGACTTTCCTCTCATTAATACCAAATGTCAAATTTGTTGCTCACGGTGGTAACAGATTGTAATAGATCTGTGGTGCTAAACGATTAGGTATAGTAAATATTAGGATTTAATTAGAACTTGTATGTTATAATTGGAACACGTTATAAGACAGTCTTAGAAAGGGGTTTGAGATGTTTAATTAGTGTTTATGTGTAAAGACTGTGTGCCGGACTTTGAGAATGTAATCAAGACCCATGAGTATTGGAATGTGTGTACCTACTTCTGAGCATCAACAATTAGCATGAGTTAATTAGCCGATGCAAATGCCCTAAGTGTGTACCAGTCCTTAATCCTACTCAGTCTAAGTGTTGATGAACTCAGGGGAACTCCTGACTGGATAAAGGAGGCTGAGTGTTTAGGAACAGCGGGATTAGGAGTTGCCTTGAACTGGATTGCTGCGCTGCTGTGGGAACAAACCCCTCTTGAAATGACCATGCTGTAAGATCTGGACTCCCTCCATGCAGACTGAAGGTGTAAACAGGTGAATAAACCATATTTCTTAAAGCCACAACAGTCTCCACCATCTCAATTCTTCAAAGGACCACAGTATGAGTCTTTGCCACCGCTTGGCAGAGAGAGGGGCAGGTATCTGACTTTTCCAACAATATTCTTTTAACTAGTTGCACAAATCTGGCTTTTCTCCTTCACTACGTAGCCCACACAGTATCTGGAATATTTATCTATAAAAGTTAATGAGTGGCAATTTCTTGGCTTGGAAGGTGTCTAAATGGGTTCACACAGGTCAGTGTGTAGTAGGTCCAGTCGCTTCCTTGAGCTCTGCACTTCTTCCCTTTATGCAAATCATACACCTGCCTTTGCCACATTTTTACGACTTTTGCAATATTCTTATCCCTTTCAGATCAAATGTGGTGTTCGCATTGCGATGACCAAGTCAGCTTGCCATAACTCAAGACAGTATGTACTTACACAGCACTTCGTGATGTTTGCCTGTTCTCTTGCGCAGTCGAATTAAAAAACACCCTGTTTTTCGAAGGTTCAAAGATTTCCACCCATGGTTATTGTGTACAGGTTATCACAAAAGTTCATATCAAAGCCCTTTTTGGTTAAGGTAGAAATGTTCAATACATCTCAGACCCTCCAAGTGTCCCTATTTTCCAGGAACAGTCCTGGATTTATAGAAGCCATCCCAGTTTCTGATTTGATCCCAGAATGTCCTGCTTTTCCTTAGGACATCCCTATTTTCATCGGAGAAATGTTGGAGAGTATGGCATCTGCATCTAATTCCGGAACATACATGACACCTCTTACTTTTGTCCCCCTAGATCCATGCTCTGCATGAGCGTAGCTGCACCCCCTAGATCAAGTAAAACAAGATCAATACTTAACTAACTAACTGACCAATCACATTGATTCTTTGCCCCCTAACAACGTTCTGCCCCCTCTAACAAAAACCTGGCTACTCACATGACGCTCTGTATTAGAAATCAAAATTCCTTCTCCACACCTGTTAATGGCCACAGAGTTTCCATCTTCTGAGAGCATGTTTCCATTTTTATTCGTGGTGAGATTTTTGGAGATATCTAATATCGGATGTCACGTGGGAATTAGCCCCATTGTCTAGGATCCAAAAATTAGATCCTGAATTATTTCATCTTGCAGAGACACCTTTACAATGGAAAGGGCTTAGAAGTGTTAGAACCATTCTTTCCTCTGCCTTTCTTGCTTCCTAGCCCATTGGCTGAAAAGTTTCTTTTAAAATGTCCTTTCTGACCACAATTAAGCTTCAGCTCCCTTTCCTAATTGACCTTTAGGTGGCCCACATACAAATTTCCTTTCCCTTTGTCTTTCTTTGGCTGCATAATTTGATCCAGTAGAGCTTTGATCAGTACAGAGCACATGCCTATCCATTTAAAATCTGCCAGAACTATTTTCAACTTTGGGTTTAACTTTGCACAAATGCCTGAAAGAAATGGAGAATATTCTTTTGGTAAAGATACCAATTTTTTTGTTTGTTTATTATCAGGAGATCATCCAGCAGCACTAAGTCTATCCATCAAATTTAGCAAGTATTCCATGGGCTTTTTTGACCATCTCCTTCTCTTAATTGAGCAGAGAACATTTCTTTGTAAAGTTGAATCTTATCTTGCATTCTCATTTTCCCTTACAGGTTCTTCAAAGCTATCAACATCCCTTTTGAAGTACCTTTTCTCCTCTTCTGGAATGGATACTCAGTAGCACCAGAAACCAGTATATGTGGCTGGGAATCATCTTTTTTTATTTGCTCTCTCTAGAAGAGACCCTACAAGGTGGTATCTAACACTTAATTTGGGAATCTGCCAAAAAAAGTGACAAAATTATGATATGAAAACTATTGGACTGTGTTCAAACCATGGCTGGAAAATCGTCTTTTTGCATGAGATGGAAGTGTCTAGCAGTTCTACTTGCCAAACAAACTCTCCACAAAAAAAAAACAGAGACAGACTTCATCCAGAAGAATAGCTAATGGCTTAAACATTTGATGTGTTAGCAATTTTC